AAAATTTTTCCTTCTTTTTTAACTTCACATTCTCTAAAAAATTATTATTTCAAATTACATTTGGCCCCAACTTGTCATTAAAATGGAACCCAAACGAGGGCAATACAATTCGATAAGAACTCCTTTGTGTTAACCTAGGTGATTTCGGTTCCACTACCACCCTACTACTACTTCAGTACCAAAACAATAATGTTATTTATACAACGATGGACAACAACTTTGTTGACAATTGTTGACACAAAACCATTTTGTTAAAGAATCATGCTACATGATCAGGGTCAATGACAGAAAAGCCCAAAAAAAAAAAAAGACTGATGTGGCAATTTTTCATTGGAAAATGGAAAAAAAAATCATAAAAACACTCAATCATAGGGTACCATGTCTGTCTATTTTTTTCCCTATTGGTTCATCATTAATGTTATTGATAATGTTAGAGATACATAAGCATTTACATAAGGGTATCCATAATGTTGATGTCATGATGTGGCATGTGATCTCAACTTTAATTCAAATATGACACTTACGCATCAATGATCGGATGATTGTCACATCAACATTATAAATACCCTTATGTAGATACTTATGTACCTCTAGCATTATCCTAATATTATTTGAGATTCTGTAAACATAGTAGTTGTCCCATAGTCGTACACCAAGCATGGTTCAGGCCAGAATTCAAACTTGTACCGTTTCGCTTCCTCTTCTTTATTCAAAATTTTTCAGTCAACAAACCAGAATTCAGCAACAGGGATTTCCACATTTTGAAACAAACAAATCTCTCTCCTTTATGTGTATAAAGATCAAATTTTTCTCAGTTTTGTCGTAAAAATCACTTCAAATAACAAAATTCCCGTCTATATACAACATATACGTATAAACAAATCTCTAAAACTTTCTGGTTCTTCATCTGCAAATTCTATTTTTTATACACTCGAGATTAATTCTTACTACTATGATCTCCTCTCTTAAGCAGTCTACTTTAGCATTCAACGGCCATAATATTCTCCGGTCAAGATCTCTGGTGCCGGTGCCTACTCGGCACCTGCAGTTCCTCCCATCAGCCAATACTGGCCGGAACTCCATCGTTTCTCTCTCTAAACCTCTCCACGTCGTTTCACCTGAAGCTTTCTCGAATTCTTTAAAGAAATCTTTAAAACATGAAAAGGAGCAGTCTTTGATCAAGTGTAAAGCGTATGAAGCCGAAAAATCGGAGCCGATCAGCGAGTCGCCAGTGACGAAATCCGAAGCGGCGAGGAGAGTTAAGATCGGGATTTATTTTGCCACGTGGTGGGCTTTGAATGTGATCTTTAATATATATAACAAAAAAGTGTTGAATGCTTTTCCATTTCCATGGTTAACTTCAACGCTTTCACTGGCTGCTGGATCATTGATAATGCTCATTTCTTGGGCTCTGAGGATTGCTGAAACCCCAAAAACTGATCTTGATTTTTGGAAGACCCTTTTTCCTGTAAGCAAAATTAGGAGATCTGGGTCTTTCTTCTAGTGCAGTTCTACGATCTGTTATATATATATGGTTAATTCTGTGATATGGGTGTGTTTTACTTACATTCGTATAATTCTTTTTCAGGTTTTTTATCTTCTGGAAAGGGTATAGTTGACAGCATTTTAATTCGTGTCGAGTCCACCTTACCAATTATACCTTCTGGATATGAACAAAATTTTAGTTTCTTTTCATTTATAAGAGTTCAACTTACCATTTCCCGGGTTTTTTTTAGAAACTAACGATCATGATTTGACAGTACAATGAAAAAAATTGTAGTTCTTGCTTCTGAGTTTGTAGTGTAGAGACCACTTAACCAATTGGTTTTTTTAGGATTTTGAACTTTTGGACGGGAAACGGACGGTACAATGGACTAAATTTTAGTTTATTTTTCTTCGTCAACAATGTGAAGTCCTCTCTAACTATTTGTCAAGATTTTTGAACTTTTGGTCATGGAACCATGTCCTGTCCATATAACAGAGGAAAATTTAGTTTTTTCTTCGTTAACTGCCGAGTCTTCCTTACCAATTACTTTTCAGGGAAACTTCTGGACATGGACGTGACAGAACATGGACAGAACGCTTTGCTTATTTTTCTCCGTTTATACCGTTCAGTCTACTACCGAACATGCCTTCTGTGTTTTGGTGATTTGGATCCACCGAAACATGTTTTTTCTTTTATATGTTCTATAAAAAGATTTAAGAATTGATTGATGTTGATGTTGATGTTTGGTTGGCGTGCTTAGGTTGCTGTTGCACATACAATTGGGCATGTTGCAGCTACTGTGAGTATGTCAAAGGTGGCTGTATCATTTACTCACATAATCAAGAGCGGTGAACCTGCTTTCAGTGTTTTGGTGTCGAGATTTATCTTGGGGGAGACATTTCCACCATCCGTTTACTTGTCCCTCGTTCCAATCATCGGTGGTTGTGGTCTCGCGGCTCTCACCGAGCTCAACTTCAACATGACTGGTAATTTGTTGATCTTCGTGTGGAATCTTCACTTTTGTGATCCTATAGAGCTTCGTTTGATTAATCTTATCCATTCTAGTAAACTGTAGCTATGATGCACAAACACCTGTATTGATGTGGTGTGTCCATGTCCGATAGGTATCGTGTCGGTGACACTCTAAGACACATACTATATGCATTTTCTTTCATGACAGTGTAATATACAGTTTAAGTTTAAGCATCAAGCTCGTCTTTTTTATCTCTTCTATTGTAAATTCTTCATGGAGTCGCATGATGTATTTGACTCGGGTTGGCATTTTCCGGTATTTTTGATAATTGAATAAAGTTGCAGGGACATTGAAAGGAGGTTGCCAGTATTCATGTTGTTTTCTAATGCATATATGGTTGTTGGCTGTTCACATCAGGTTTTATTGGGGCTATGATATCGAACTTGGCATTTGTTTTCCGGAACATATTTTCCAAGAGGGGCATGAAGGGCAAGTCTGTCAGTGGAATGAACTACTATGCTTGCTTGTCTATGCTCTCGCTCTTGATTCTCACTCCATTTGCAATTGCTGTCGAGGGACCACTTATTTGGGCTCTCGGATTTAAAGAAGCACGATCTCAAATCGGACCCCAGATCATTTGGTAAGCACATGATAACCTCGCTATTATTATATGATTTGTTGATCAGAAAATTGATTCTGGCAGAACTCATTTACGTAGTTTTTTATGTTCTTGAGGTTTTTTCTTCCCGTCGAAAAGTTTGGATAACATAGTACTAATTTTTGTTTGTTTTCACCTTTTTCAGGTGGATGGCAGCCCAGAGTGTTTTCTACCACCTATACAATCAGGTGTCGTACATGTCACTCGATGAGATTTCTCCATTGACATTTAGCATTGGAAACACGATGAAACGTATTTCTGTCATTGTCTCATCTATCATCATTTTCCATACACCAGTACAACCCATCAATGCTCTTGGAGCTGCCATTGCCATTCTTGGAACTTTCTTGTATTCACAGGTAATTTGGTTACTTTTCATTGTCGACTTTTTTCTCAATACCGTAGCTGGAAACTGCTTATTTCTGCACGTAATTCTGTCGACACTGCTAGATGTTTTGCCTTTTAACATACCGAACTTCTGAAACAAGCAATGTTTGGACACAATTTTGATTCTATCGACATTGCTAGTCTTGTGAACAATATGCTTCAAAGATCTATTGTTCGGACAAAATGGGTTTCTCGGTACACTTCACTTATAATTTGTTGTGTTTGTCAGGCGAAGCAGTAAGGAACCGGAGTTAGGAATTCAGTTTGGTCAAGTAGCATGAACTGGACAGTAGTAACTCCCAAGATTTCGTGCTGCTTGAAGTGGAGCAGCAGCTTTACTTGTAGATGTCAATAATTTTAGGCGGATTGTTGTGTTTTGTATTGTATCCCCAAAGTTGAGGGAAGAACTGAGAATTGTACCAATAAACAATGGCAATAAGAAGCAAAATCAGGGGGAAAAAACTCGTGTTCACAAGGCAATGATTTCTATTCTAATGTAACATTGTTATCTACAAAGCATCTATGCTGGTTGTTCCCGCAGGCCCACCACCTATAGGGGCGCCACCGTACAACCAGCCTTATTGATCTAAAGAAATATAACAAAGTTAAATGAATTCAGCCATTGTATTCAAATGCTTCAAACATGTACATGTACCCTTTGAAACTTCCTTGAATTTTACTATAATATGCACTAAAATGTCTTCAAAAACTTCCTTGAATTTTATTTCTTTTTCAAAATTAAATATTACATTGATTACATAAACACATGGCCCTCGAGAAATGCTCACCCGAATTTCCTAAAGAGAGTTCATATGCCCACTTTCAAGTTAATGCCATTAAAGCTTTAACTGTTTAATGGCTGTCTGAACATCCTTATCTCCTCTTCCACTGCAGTTTAGGACAACTTTAGTTCCATCTGGAAGCATCGGGCACAACTTCTCTAGGTAAGCTAGCGCATGAGATGTCTCAAGTGCAGGGATGATGCCCTCGAGCCTAGATAATCTCTTAAAAGCTGCATTGCACAGGCAGAGTAACACATTTAGTGTATGTTGGATCGTATTTTTCAACAGAACTGCACATTGATTATGAACAAAATTTAAGATTCTTCGATTTCATTAATAATGTCCAATACTGTATAATTAATCCATCATACAAACAGATCAGTGGAAAAATGGAAGGTGAAGGGTGGGATGCCTAACAATACATACCCTTACTATTACTCCATCGAGAACGATATAAAATAATAGGACATAGAGGGGAGGGAAAGCAATCAAAGGACCTTTACTCCATCAAGAACAACATAAACGAATTGGATATAGAGGGGAGAGAGAACAATTAAAGGACCAATGGTAGTTTGTTAATCCAGTGTGACTGTTAAACAAGGAATTCCAAAGGAATGGACTGCTGCATATACTAAAGATAAAGCACCGGCAAAATGGAATATTAAAGATCTCATCTTACCTTCTAAAGCCTCCTCATCGGTGATGCTATAATACTCGGCTCGTCCAATATCTTTCAGAAAGCTGTGCTCTGGTCCAACTCCAGGATAATCCAGGCTATGGAAGTGATAAACATTTCTTAGTCGGGGGAAATATATAAACTTAAATTATTTGTAGAAATGAACACTATTTTACCCAGCACTAATAGAATGTGGCTCGATTATTTGCCCATCATCATCCTGTAACAAGTAGCTCATAGCTCCATGCAAGACGCCAACTTCTCCTTTAGACAACGTGGCGGCATGCTTACCGCTGTCTAGACCAAAACCAGCAGCCTCCACACCAATAAGCCTAACATTTTTGTCATCGATAAATTCATGAAAGAGCCCTATAGCGTTCGAACCGCCACCAACACATGCAACAAGCACGTCAGGTTTGCCACCCCATTTTTCCAGTGCTTGTTTCCTTGTTTCTTTACCAATCACCGAGTGGAACTCCCTTACCATCATAGGATATGGATGGGGCCCTGCAACAGATCCCAGGATGTAATGAGTCGATTCCACATTGGTTACCCAGTCTCGTATAGCTTCAGATGTAGCATCCTTCAGTGTTGCAGTCCCAGAATGAACAGGTCTTACCTGCATGTGAGTTCGGAAATTTTAAGTCAAAAAGCAGCGTCATAAATTGTATTCCCGAGCCATTCAAGCAATGTACATAAATGTTCAGTTAAGGAATACACAGAAATATATCTTCTAAACAATTCTCTTCTCCAAGCAACTGAGGGCTTGAGGCTGTTAAGTATACAGCCCCAAAAGTGACAACTTCCAGCTGTCAAGAGACTTATGCCTTGACATAATACCTTAAGCAAGAGGGGCCTGGGGATGCTTTTTAAGACGCTGCTTCTAGTCTGTGAATTTGATGTAAAACGAATATCCAGATTGACTACTTAATGAAAGCAACAAAAACAAACAAAAAAGTAATGCATGCAGGACTCTTGCTGCATACAGCATCCTAATGGGCTGAATGCTAGAAAATACCCCAAACCAACTATGATGAATTTTTTTTTGCAATCACTGATCTGCACACAGTTGTCCAAGTATGACAAAGGCATTAGACAAAAGATTTACCAGCGCACTCGTGTATGCTGAGAGAAGATTAATGTGTGGATATTCCAATTCTAATTACTCTGGATAATTCAAACGAAGTAGTAAAAAGCTAATTGGTAAACAAACCTCAGCTCCAAGGAGTTGCATTCTGAAGACATTGAGTTCTTGCCTCTCCATGTCCTGAGCACCCATATAGATTATGCACTGTAATCCAAAGCGAGCGCAAACAGTAGCGGTAGCAACACCATGCTGACCAGCCCCTGTTTCAGCAATGATACGTTTCTTGCCCA